AGTAAGATTGGTTTATAACATTGTATAAATTTCAGGTGTACATCATTATACTTCTATTTCTTGAGCAGTAATATTTTGAAAGGAATCTTTTTTTCTGAGCACTAGGTCTCAACAATGGGGTTAAAGTATTCAGTAAACTGTGTTGTAAACAGATGTGCTGTCATCCAGGCTTTGTTGTTCCATTTATAGAGCACAGGCAGAGAAGATTTAGAATAATTATTAATACCTCTGGGATTTTTGGAATGGTAAATGAACATTGGCTTCAATTTAAAGTCACCAGCTGCATTAGCCCCTAACAAGAGAGTGAGTCTGTCCTTTAAAGCTTAGAAGCCAACCATTGACTTCTCCTCTCTAGCTATGAAAGTCTGAGATGGCATCTTCTTCCAATAGAAGGCTGTTTAATCTACATTGAAAATCAGTTGTTTAATGTAGCCACCTTCATTAATTATCTTAGCTAGATCTTTTGGATAACTTCCTGCATCTTCTACCTTAGCACTTGCTGCTTCACCTGGTACTTTTATGTTATGGAGATGGCTTCTTTCCTTGAACCTCATGAACCAACCTCTGCTAGTTTCAAACTTTTCTTTTGCAGCTCCCTCACTTCTCTCAGCCTTCATAGAATTGAAAAGAGTTAGGGCCTTGCTCTGGGTTAGGCTTTGGCTTAAGGGAATGTTCTGGCTGCTTTGATCTTCTATTCAGATCACTAAAACTTTCTCCACATCAGCAATAAGGCTGTTTCACTTCCTTATTATTCCCATGTTCACTGGAGTAGCACTTTTAATTCACGTCAAGAACTTTTCCTTTACATTCACAATTTGGATAACCATTTGGTGCAAAAGGCCTAGCTTTTGGTCTATCTCAGCTTCCAACATGCTTTCCTCACTAAGCTTAATCATGTCTAGCTTTTGATTTAAAGTGAGAGACATGCAACTCTGCCTTTCACTTGAACACTTAGAGGCCATTGTAATAATTGGCCTAATTTTGATATTGCTGTGTCTCAGAGAATAGGGAGGCCCCAGGAGAGGGAGAGAGACAGGGGAACTGCTGGTCAGTGGAGCAGTCAGAACACACATAACATTTATTGGTTAAGTTTGGCATCTTATATGGGGACAGTTTGTTGTGCCCCAAAAGAATTACAATAGTGACATCAAAGATCACTGATCACAGATGACCGTAACAAATATAATAATAATGAAAATTGTGAAATATTTCTAGAGTTACTAAAGTGTGACACAGGGACATGAAGTGAGCAAATGCTGCTGGAAAAATGGCACTGATAGACTTGCTTGATGCAGGGTTGCCACAAAGCTTCAATTTGTAAAAAATACAGTATCTGTGAAGTGCAATAAAATGAAGTATGCCTGTCTATCTGTTAAGTCCATCTGGTCTAACATGTCATTTAAGGCCAATATTTCCTTATTAATTTTCTATCTAGATTATCTATGCATTGATGTAAGTGGGATTGTTAAAGTCCCCTACTATTATTGTATTGCTGTCAATTTCTCCTGTTAGGTGCATTAATATTTGCTTTATGTATCTTGGTGCTTCTATGTTGGGTCCATATATATTTATAAATGTTATGTTTTCTTGTGGATTGACCTCTTTATCACTATGTAATGCCCTTTTTTGTCTTTTACTATATTCTTAGTTTTAAAGTCTATTTTGTTTGTTATGACTATAGCTACACCAGCTTTCCTTTTGTTTCCATTTGCATAGAATATCTTTATCCATCCCTTCACTTTCAGTCTGTGTGTGTCCTTACTTCTGAAGTGAGTCTCTTGTAGACAGCATATACATAGGTCTTGTTCTTTTTATCCATTTAGGCACTCTGTGTCCTTTGGAGGGTTTAGTCCGTTTACATTTAAAGTAATTATTGATAGGTATGTACTTATTGCCATTTTGTTAATTCTTTTATGGCTACTTTTGTAGTTCCCCTCTGTTCCTTTCTTCTCTTTCTCTCTTCCTTTGTGGTTTGATGGCTTTCTTTAGTGTTAGTTTAGATTCCTTTCTCTTTGTCTTTTGTATATTTACTATAAGTTCTTTTTGCGTGTTTATCATGAAGTTCATATGTAACTTCCTATGTATGTAACAGTCTGTTTTAAGTTGATATCAACTTAAATTTGAACACATTCCAAAACTTTATATCCTCCTCCCATGTTTTATATTTCCAATGTGAAATTTTACATCTTTCTATTTTATGCATCCCTTAACTAATTGTAGTTTTAATTTTACTATTTTTGTCTTTTTATCTTCCTACTTGCTTTATAAGTGATTTATCTACTACCTTTACTATATGTTTACTTTTTCCAGTGAGATTTTTTACTTTCATATGTTTTCTTGTTAATTAGTGCCATTTCTTTCAGTTTAGAGTGGTTCTTTAACCTTTCTTGTAAGGCCAGTTTAGTGGTGATGAACTCCTTTAGCTTTTGCTCATCTGGGAAACTCTTAATCTCTCCTTCAATTCTGAACAATAACCTTGCCAGGTAGAAAATTCTTGGTTGGAAGTTTTTTTCCTTTTAGCACTTTGAATATGTTGTGCAACTCTCTTCTGGCTTGCAAAGTTTCTGCTGAAAAATCTGCTGATAACCTTATGGGGTTTCCCTTGTATGTAATAATTCGTTTTTCTTTTGCCGCTTTTAAAATTCTCTCTTTATATTTAACTTTTACTATTTTAATTATAATGTGTCAGTGTGGCTCTCTTTGGGTTCCTCTTACTTGGAGTTCTCTGGGATTCCTGAACCTGTGTGTCTGTTTCATTCTCCAGATTAGGGAAGTTTTCAGCCCATTATTTCTTCAAATAAGTTTTATGGCCCTTTCTCTCTCCTCCTTCTGGATCTCTAGAATGTGAATGATATTCCAATTGATGTTGTCCCAAAGGTCCCTTAGGTTATCTTTATTTTTTAAAATTCTTCTTTCTTTTTGCTGTTCTGTCTGGTTGAGTTCTATTGCTTTGTCTTCCAGCTCACTGATCTGATCTTCAGTTTCATTCAGTCTGCTGTAGAGCCCCTCTAGTGTGTTTTTCAGTTCACATATTGTATTCTTTAGTTCTGTCAGTTCTGTTTGGAATTTTCTTATATTTTATATCTTTCTGTTGAAGATCTCACTGTGTTCATATATTCTTCTCCCAAGTTTGGTGAGCCCCTCTATGACCATTACTTTGAACTTTTTGTCAGGTAGATTGCTTATCTTAATTTCATTAATGTCTTTTTCTGATATTTTATCTTGTTCTTTCATTTGGAACATATTCTTCCATCTCCTCATTTTGCCTCACTCTCTATTTTTGTTTCTATGTATTAGGAAAATCAACTATCTATTCCAGTCTTGAATGAGGGAGCTTGTGTAGGAGATGTTACTTGGGGCCCAGAAGCACAATCCTCCCTGAGCACCGGAGCTAGACATACAAGGGACATCCTTGAGTGGGCTGTGCATACCCATTGGCTCTGGTGGGACTGCATGAGTGGCATGTGGGGGCTGGGCTTCTCACCCTTCACATCTGTTTGTGTCATGTGCAAGTGGCATGGGGCTAGGGAATGGGGATGCTGGCCCTCCCCATCTGTTGGTGTCTTGCACGAGTGGTAGACTCCCAGTTTAATCTATAAGAAGCAGATTATTTAGTGGGACTGTGATGGAATTTGAGGAGTGATTAATATACTGAGGAGTAGATACAATGACTATTGGAACTTTGCATCTTCATTTTGGGGAAAGTATGAGAACTTCTTCACTTATAATAAGGATAGGGTTTTAAGACCTACATGATGATGTTATGGCTCTTATTACATACAACTAGATTGATTTCTGAAAATATTTAACTAATATAAAGCATAGTGAACAATGTATACATATATCTGTTTGCTCACTTTATCATTATTTTTCTCAATATTTCTTTATGTTTATAAGATGATAGATGAAAATTATGTTGTCTTGATGTGTTAATTTACATTAGGGAACTTCTACTGATTTTTTCTGGTTTACAATATGTATATACATTGAATACAAATGCTATATGTTTTCAAGGAAGAAGTTGTAGAAAATACAATACCAATTTTTAGTATAACAGTATGTTCATTTGTTTTTTTTATTTATTTATTTTGTTGTGAAAAAAACACATAATGTGGATCTTACCCTCAATTTTTTAAGTGTACAATATTGTTAACTACATACACATTGTTGTACAGGAGTTCTCTAGAACTTTTTCTTCTTGCATGACTGAAACTCTATACCCACTGAACAGCAACTTCCCATTTCTTCCTGTCCCAGCCCCTGGTAACCACCATTCTACTTTCTGTTTCTATGATTTTGACTGCTTGCAATATCTCATATAAGTAGAATCATGAAGTATTTGTCCTAATGTGAGTAGCTTATCTCACTTAACATAATGTCCTCAAGGTTCATCCATGTTGTCACATATTGCAGAATTTCCTTCTTTTTTTAAAGCTGAGTAATATTTCATTGTATGTATATACCACATTTTCTTTATCCATTCATCTGTTCATGGACATTTAATATGTTCATTCTTTATTTTCACTATTCTTTGACTATTTACAGGCATACATGCCATTTGATGCCTCTGGTGCCACCAGGGCAGGTGAATGGAGGGTGCTGAACTGTCTCATTCTGGAGCATTATCTGTATCTAGCTTACTTGTTCTGTGCCCTTTTATTAATGGACTGGTTTGTGTAACTCCATAAGTAAAAGTTCTGGGGCTCAGGGTCTTTGCTTTTGTTCAGCCTCTTCAACTGTAATGAGGTCACCCCTTCTAGATTAATTTTGAAAGGCTGTGGTAGGAGCTAACATACTATGAATCTTTTTCCTCAGACCTTGAATGGGCCAAATACTTCTCTGACTATATTTCTAAGCTTTTAGAAGTCTCTTCACTTTGAATAAGAACAAATATACTTGAATATAATTAAAAAGCAAGTTCCACAGGAGCTCTGAGCTTGCAAAGTTCTCTCCCCTTGTAGATTGATTCTCTTATAGAGCAAACACCCTGTTGCCATTTCTTACCCTGAGATACACATTTGCTGCCTCAGCATCCTCTGCAGAGCTGCCTTCACCTCCTGGTTCTTGAGGCTGTAGATGAGGGGGTTTATCAAGGATGTGATCATACTATACTGTATAGAGACAACTCGCTCCAGGACTGATCCTGAAGGGGGGCTGATGTACCTGAATAGAGCTGTCCCATAGAACAAGAGCACCACAGTGAGGTGAGAGAAGCAGGTAGAGAAGGCTTTGCCTTGGCCCCCAGAGGAGGAGATACTTAGAATGGCAAACATAATTTTTAAGTAAGAAAAGAGGATCAGGGGAAGTGTCACAAGTCCTAGAAATGCAGTAGACCCAGCCAGCAGGATGGTGTTAGCCATGGGATCAATGCAGGACAGAGGAAAGAGTGAAGGAAGTTCACAGCTGAAGTGGGAGATGGTATTGGGATCGCAGAACTGTAATTTCTGGATACAAAGATTATTCACCGGTGAGTTCAGAAAACCCATCGTCCATGCTACACTGACCATTGCAGTGCAGAGAGGTCTATTCATGACCACAGTGTAGAGTAGAGGGTGACAGATGGCAGCATAGTGGTCATAGGCCATAGCAGAGAGCAAGCAGCTCTCAGTGCCCCCAGAAAGAATAAAAAAGAAACTCTGGGTGATACAGCCCCACACTGAGATGGTTTTCTTCTGAGACAGGAAATTCTGCAGCATCTTGAGCACAGTGACTGAAGAGTGGCATATGTCTAGGAAAAACAAATGTCCAAGGAAGAAGTACATGGGCGTGTGGAGGTGGGAATCACACCTGATCTACAGGATCATCATCAGGTTCCCCATCAGAGTCTGGAGGTAAATCCCCAGGAAGAGAACAAAGAGCATGGTTTGGATATCTGGGTCACTGGACAATCCAAGAAGCACAAATTCATCAATAATGCTAAGATTTTTCATAGTATATCTTAGATATACTATGCCTAGAAACAAACAAATATTTATTCACTTGGTGGGACAATGATCTGAGTCATTCTTAGTGAATAGGATTTATTTATTTATTTTTTTGTGAGGAGATCAGCTCTGTGCTAACATCTGCCAATCCTCTTGTTTTTTTTGCTGAGAAAGACTGGCCCTGGGCTAACACCCGTGCCCATCTTCCTCCACTTCACATGGGACACTGCCACAGCATGGCTTGCCAAGCAGCGCGTCGGTGCGCGCCTGGGATCCGAACCGGCGAACCCCGGGGCACCACAGCGGAGCGCGTGCACTTAACTGCTTGCGCCACGGAGCCAGCCCCAATAGGATTTATTTTTTAATTTATAAAATATTCACTTTTTAGCTTCAAGCCTGAAATTGAATCTGAGGATAGAGAAGTATCTGACTACCCTATTACTCTATTAAATATTGCAACTTTCTTTCTCCTGCCTAAGTTCTCCTTCTCAAGCTCAACTTCTCTTTCCCCATAGCACTTAACATTTTCTAACATATTGGATAATTGACTAAGTGGGTACATTAAAAAAATTATCTCTTCCTGCTAGAACTTATATTACACACAGGCAAGGATCTTTTTTTCTTCCCCCCAAGGATGCATTCCTAAGTGCCAATAATTGTCACTGACTCCATAATTTTTGAGTAAGAAAAGAGGATCAGGAAAGTGTCACAGCCCTAAAAATGCAGTGGACATAGCTAGAAGGCTCTAAATAAACATTTGTTGAATGAAAGAATGAATACTTCCTCAGCTACCGTCTCTTCTTGTAACCCTCATTGCTACCAGCCCTCTGACTTCTTAGATGATAGACCCCTCACAGTCTCTATCCTCTCATGCTCTTCCCCAGCCTTTCCTCAGCACCTGAAATCATCCAAGTTGTGGTGAGCTCCAGAAGTTGCAACAGGTAGAAATACACTAGAGGCAAAGCAAGAGGGATCCTTTTGTGGGAGGCTACTCTTCAAAACAATTAGAACTTAAATTCCTAGTACATTTCGTCTGACATGTCACCAGACACATGTTATCTGACCTCATATTTCCTGAAGAGGACAATGTGGGACAGAAGAGTGACATGACTTGCACCACAGGCAGCTGGTCTCAGAGCCAGCACTAGGCCAGATGTTCTGATTTCACATCCAGTTCTCTTTCTAGTGCTTTATACACAGACAATAAATATTTGTGGATTTAAGGAGTTTCAGGTTGGGACTGGTATGGATTGGGGGGACAGGAGTGACCCCCATTTTCCTTGGTCCTGTGAATTTGCAATATGCCCTAGGGTTCTACAGCAGCTGCTGTGGTGGTAAAATGAGCACTAGACTCAGAGTCAGAAGGTCCTTGCTGATTATTGGCTGAGGAACCTATTCAAGACATAACCTTCTCAAATGCAAAATGGGAAAAAAAATGAGGTCAAATGTGATAAAAGTCTTTATAATCACTGACGTGCTTTATAAAAATTAATAAAAAACTATATTTGCAGAAGACTGAAATGGAAAATGGTAAATAAAAATTTGTGATCTATTGAGTGAAAAGTTTATGCATACTTTTCCCAATTAAATATTTCACTTTTGCTGCAAAATTATGTTTTCACTAAATGCATTTTTTTTTAAATAGGAAAAGTGTTTCCCAGTCCTTCCAAGCCTGATTCTCAAGACTTCTTCATCATTTGTTCTCTCCAGACACTCTCCCTCTCTTTCTGGGATGCACTGACTTACTGCTTGCATTTTATATTGTACCCCTTCAGCAAAAAATCTGACTTTTCTTCCTTCTTCCCCTCCCTCTCTCTAACCTCATTTCACAGATCCTCCTTCCCGCCACCACCTACTTACACTCTTACTCATGTGATAATAACTATTATTTATTTAATGCATAATTTATGCCAGGCCCTATAACAAGGTCTGTATGCTCTTAGTCTCATTTAATCCTTACAAAACCTTGCAACATAGGTATTACTGACCCCATTTCTGTGGCTCAGAAATGTTAAATGACATACATAGTCATAGACTTTACAAAGTGGTGGTGTTGGGACTCACATCCAAGGTCTTTTGACTCCAAACCCCTTGTTTTTCCTACTTTGCAATGCTGTAAAAGTTTGCTTATGGGAAAATCTTTCCTGGTTTGGAGATTATGCTTTCTCCTGAGGGAACTTAGGAACTCAGGCAGGAATGGGAGGTGGCCCTGGGAGTTTGGGCCATTGACCAGGTCTGGAACTTCTCCTTACCCAGAATGTCCCAATGATCACAGAGATATGAGTGTCAGGGATTTGACCTCTTGTAACACAGATGGGGGCTTCTGGGCCAGGGAAAAGTCCAGGAAGAGAAGCCTAAGGGAAAGCCAGATTGAGGACTAAGAGCAATTCAGACTGAAAGAAGTGGAACTCTATAGACGTGGGGGATTAAGGTATCAGAGATGACCCTTCTAGTTTTTCATCCTGTTTCCCTTGCTGAAGCATCTGAAGAAGTCCTGGTGGTGAGGCATCAAGTAAGTGATTACAGACATGAAGGATTAGAAGTTATTCATGTAAAGAAAAGTTCTCTTCCTGCCCTCTTTCCTAAAAACATCAGCAAATTTCTCTTTTTTAAAATCTGCCATACTCTTATTATACTCTTTCAGCAGCCACTATGCTACATTTTGATCCCATCTGGAGACAGAATACTCGCCTCCATGAACTTTAGAAATCCCAAGGATCCCAGACTCTAGTGAAAGTTTTCCAGAGTCTTTTTTGGGTTCCATGGAGCCCAGTGTGCTGCCCCGTGCTTCAAGGGCCACCACAGACACTGAGAGGCTAGTCAAGTGTGGGCCTCTCCCCACCACCCCCATGTACTATAATCACCATAGCTCTTCATTTATCTGTTTTATATATAGGTAGTTTTGTTGGTGGGCTTTTTTTTTTTCAGCGAACAGAATATTTAGCTAATAAAATAACTTTGAAAGCAAGCGGCTTAGGGATTCTTTGAACAGAGGTAGGGAGAAAGATCACTTCTTTGGTTTCCATATTCACCACTCCACCCATCCTCCTTCTTAAAAAAGCTCATCTTTTTTTTTTTTTTTTTTTTTCGGTTCAGACTCTGCTACACGAAGAAACAAAACAGAAAAATCCCAAGTGGGCAAGTGGGTAGAGAGGTCAAACTTGTAGGATAGTTACTACTTAATTTTGTGACTTTGAGAAATAGTCTTCCCCATCCCGTGTCCAATTGCCAGTTCTAATAAGAAATTTAGAACTTGTGCCTATTCAGATCCTTCCTTGAGAACCTTTGGAGCCCTTGCTTGAGTTAGATGTATGTCTGGCTCACTTTCCTCCTCACTGAACAGGGTGGTCCTGGTTCCTTTGAGCCAGGCTGTCAACTGTCACCAAAGCAGGGCTCCAGCATGTAAAAGCAACTCCAGCAGTAGGTGTCTTCTGCAGATGCATCCAATAGAATTTGACACAAAGCGGGCTGAGTTCCCAATCAGTGCTAGGTCTGGTGTCATGTTCAAACTCCAAGCAGCTCACTTCAAGTTCTCTTCTGGGTAAAAGCTAAGGTTTCTGACATCCAGTTAATGCTGTTTTGAGTCTCTTGGTCTCTAAGGGAATCTGGTACTCTTGCTTATCATTTTACTCTTCTATTGTCTCCTCAGTCCTGAGCAAAGCTCATGCCCAGTTCATGTAACTTATATTTCTTTCCTCATCAACTCATTGGTAATCTTGTGCCAGGTGGGTCCTGGAGAAGGTTGTTGAATAAACACCCCTGGGAGCCAGGAACAGTTCACTGCGCATGGGAGAGGCAGCAGTAGCCAGAGCCAAAGGTGCCCTCAGTCTGAAGATGGACAAGCTACTACTACTCTTGTGGCCAGAGGAGGACAGAGGAGTGTAGAAGGCTCCTAGCTACAAACTGCTTTGCTAATAGGGGAACAGGGGACCAGGTGAGCTCCAATATATGAGACTCTGCTTAGGGCTTCTCTAGTCCCTGAGAGTCCTGGGGTTCTGAGAACACGCATACACACTCTTTCCCTCTCCACCCAAGTAGACACACTCCCCTTTCCCACTGTGACAAGTTCAATAGTTTCATTACTCTCATGAAGCTACCTACTCCCTTAACTTAACAATCTGAACTCTCAGCTGATAATTCATAGAGGAAATGTTGCTATTCCTGCTATGGGCAATCTCCAACTTCCTAATCCCCACACATGGAGTTATTCTTCTTTTCTCCCCTCCAACTTGGGGAGGAGGTCCTGCTCCTTCGTCTCCAGTCAGTACCTCTCTCTGATCTGGATCCTATCCTGACTGTTCTCTTTGAGCACCTTTCTAAATCAACCATGCTCTTTCTCTTCTGTTGTCTCTTCCTTTTCATTGAGCCTTTCCACTCAGCTTATACATAGAAACTACTTATGTTTATCCATTTAAAATAGAACAGGAACAATTAGTAACCCCCCCTCTTCCATGAGAAGGCTTACAAATATAGTAATGTTTGGAGCCCTTCCTTGAGTAATAAAGTCAGCTGCGTTTAAAGGCTTCTACATGTGAAAACATGAAGAGTTAGATACTTTTCCATTTGAGACAAAAAGGAAAGTACAAGTTAGTGAAAATTTTACCCTCACCCATTTACATTTTAATCCATTTCTGAGATTGTTACAACACTTCAGAAAAGATATATATGGAATACACCACACATTATGTAACACCTCTGCTGCACCCTGTAGTAAAACACATTACTATTTCTATAACGAAACGTCTGAGTACCCCTTCTAAGTGGAATTTAAAAAAGATACAAATAGCCTCTTGTCAGTTAATTTCCAGTTTTGCCTCCAAAGTAATTTTGAAAAAAAA